TGTGTTGTTTTATTATCAGTGACCATGTATGTTTTTCTTGTTCTCTTGGTTATACTTCATGTCCGTTTGATGGACTTCAGAATGACATAGCTGCTCTCCGTGGTGCTGAAGCTTGTAAGCCCCGCTGTTGTGTGCATGTGTATGTTGTAAAATGATGTTATCATGAGCTTTATTATTTGGGTTTAAAGGACCCGGTCTTTTGCCCCGGCCCGGCTCTGATTTGTTCCGCTAGTGCCTGGAAGTTAGCTTGACAGTTAGCCTAAGAGTTTACTTGACAGTAGCCGTGTCTCAATACTCAAGTACGCAAGTCTGCATTACCATTCATGTACGATTGGGGCAGCAGCGTACTCGATGACGTCACCACCTCGGCTCATCTACTCTGGTGATCTTTACCGTGAAAAACCACGAAATTAAATGAAATACAAAAACACAGCTCTGCTTGTTTACGTTTTAATATATATTAAAAATATGTATACATGTTGAGGTTTCTAAGGTCGTTATACAATCTTTATTGAAGCCATTAATTTGTGGACAGCAGTGTCTGATCAACAGGTCAGATGTTAGAGGAAAATGTAATTGTGGCTTCAGCACTTCATATCAGACGATTCATGGAATACAGTTGAAAATTTTAATTGCAAAAATACTTAAATAGACAAGAACTATATATAATAAATATAACAATTAACAAACAGGCAAATTTTTATAAGATTTTATTTTAGAACAGGACAAAAGTCTCCAACAAAACATATACAGATGGAAGACGTTGTGCCTCTCCTCCTCCTGATGCTCTTCAGTGGAGCTGGAAACAACCTCATGCTGCTGAAGATGCTCCGTCAGAAGGTCCAGGATGGAGCTGCTCATGTTCTGGGGAGTCTCCCAGCAGTCAGGAGGACGTTCATCCAGCTGCCCTCCACTGAAACATTGCTTACATGTGATTTTTAATGCACAGTCACAGTCATAGGAATAGAACAAGGCTGTACTTCAGGTAATGAAAGCAGGAGAATTATTCAGCCGTACTAAGGCAGCGATCAGTCCAACACTAAATAAAAATATAAAGTTCCAACATTAACTTCTTTTAAATCGATTGTGAGCAATAAACAGATTACACTGTGAGGACAAAATGTGACCACTAAACTACATATATCCCTGTTTAACTGCTACGGAGCCGTCAGCGGCGGACTTCAGAGAGTCTGGCCGCCTTCACAGCTGTCAAACCGGGACGCTCACATCTACAAAATCGTCGGAGCAAAATTTTAAGCAGGCTTTATCTTGATAAAATGACCACATATTTGACATTTCTACCACTACTTTCTCGCCTCAAATAATCTTAAAACTACAGTTTGTGTCACAATAACAGTGGTACTTACAAAAAAACTTGTGTTACTGTTAAAAGTTTTCTCCTCGACTTTTGCCGCTGGTTGACGTGAAATGCATTCTGGGATACTTGGCTTTCTGAAGTCCACACAAGTCCGGTCTGATGCAGACTCGATAATGTCTGGCCATTTCATCCGTACTTGGTCAGATGCGTACTTAGAACTGGGACAGTACTTGGTCTCCGACTGATGACGTTTCACAAGTCCGCAAGAACGCAAGCACGGACAAGTACGCATAATGAGACACGGCTATCTAGTCTGACAGATAGCTTAGCAGGTAGCCTGACACTTACCTTGATGGGTAGGTTGACAGTTACCCAGATGGTTAGCCTGACAGTTATCTGGAGCTTGAGCGTTAGCGTGAAATTAAGCTCTAAAATTAGCTTGGCAGTTAGCCTGGGAGGTAGCTTGAAAGTTAGCTGGAAAGTAGGCCNACACTTTACCTCAAGATGTCCATAAATAGGCACTAAACTACATAATAAATTAAGGATACGCGACAGAAGTGTTCCTTACGACGTGCTTCAGAAGAATCTTTACTCAACGACAACACAATCACGTACGAAGCCCCATTTTTAGCAGCAGCACTCGTACAGTCGGAGTCACACTCTGCTGCAATCACAGCTCACATCTCTGCCAATTTTCACTATTCTGCTCTTTCACTTTCCTCCCCCACATGAACCGTCAGTCTGTCTGTCTGTCTGTCTGTCTGTCTACCTGAAAGCGTCATGAGCGCCGGCTTCCTCCAAATCCTCTGTGAAGTAGCACTTTATCATCCCACACACACTAATGGAGGCAGAGAGGAAGAGCTAGACGGGGACCAATTAGCATCTCGGTGCCAGACTTAAACCCCAGAGAGTCTCGGGTCGTCGCAGGGTTTTCATTATGCAGAAGATCTTGTTCTTTTCATGAAACTTGCTTTAGCTCAATTCAAGAAAAAAACTCAAAACTTCCTAAAAGAAGAAACTAATCCTAATCTAGTCATACTTTTTTTTGTCAGGTGGGGAAAGAAATGTACCTGTCAATCAGTGTCAAGTGTCTGCACAGGAAAAATAATAATTTGGAGTGTTCTGGAGAGTTCTTCGCATTTTAATGTGGGTGATTATTGTCAGACATGAGACCAGTTCATGGTTTCATCTGCATTTGTGCACATTAACATATCTTTTATACGTTCCAGTGTTTGGTTGAGCATCATGGAAAAAGTCTAAAAAACTGTTTAAAATAAGACCAAAATAGAGAGATAGATAGATACAGCTTTATTGATCCCTTTGGTACAACCTCAGGGAAATTGTTGAACATGGAAAACAGTGCAAACATGTTCTCCAGTTTACTTTTTCTGGCATCATGTGTTGGTCTCAAAGTTCGTCCCCTTTACATGAGTCAGTTCGATTTTTTTCTCTTTTTAGTGCCTATTCACAACATGCATCATAAGATATGCCTTTATTTATCTCACAGCGGAGAAATTCACATTGTTGTCGCAGCATTACACACAGAGATACACACATACTCGACAGAAAAAATGTACATATAAATATAAGAAATAGTGGAAATAAGTATAAAAGTACACATAAAAGAGAATAGTGCAAACAGAATATGAGAATGGGCTTCTGAATGTAGGTACATTGAAGAGATATATGTGTGTGTGTGTGTGTGTGTATAAGATAGGGAATAAATATATAATAATAGTAATAATAATAATAACAACAATAGTAATAATAAGCAGTGCCAATGCAGATATATACATACATATATACATGTTGAGCGAAGTTTAAATAAATATTGTTAAATATGAGTAATGCTCTTTTTTGGTATATTAACTAGTGGATATTGCACATTGTGGGTCTTCTGGGAACATAACTGGTTGCATCCATAGCACTTCAAATTTTAAACAAAGAAACCCAACAAATCCAAACTATTTTCGAATTCCCTTTGAGCAAGAACATGGCGACAGTGGGGAAAGAACAAAAACCTCCCCGTTTACCAGGAAGGCTGGCTTAGCTACCTTACAGTTAGCCTAGCAGTTGGTCTGACAGGTAGCTTGACAGTTGACCTGGAAGCAGGGGCGGGGCTTCAGGGGGGGCTGGAGGGCCGGGTCCCAAGGGGGCCCGGATAGGAGGTCGGGCTTTAAGTAGGCAGGCCCCTACCATGGGTCAGAGTAGCAGGAGTTATCAGCCCCTCCCATGAGTAACACTTACAGCAATTTAGAGTATGGACACAGACTGTTTAATATCATATGTCTTTATACAGGGGTTATGGTTGCTAAAAAAATCACAAGACTGACTGACTTTAGTGATGTAGAAGGTGTAAAATATTGAATAAAATGTTGTACTGCATGAATTGCTTTATGTCAGCTCTCACATTAAACTTTATTATGCGCAAATTTACAAGTTGATCGCCGATAATGTCTCCAAGTGTATTCTGGGTAAAACGCGTCATCAACCATCGACCAACGTCATCATCAGTCACTTGTCAACAGATTGCGAACTAGGTCGAGCATTTTTGTGGACTAAGTTAACATGAGTAGCACTTCATAGAAGCATAAAAGTGGAGCGGCAAAGCGAAAAGAAAGGGAACAGAGAGAGCAAGGAAAAGCCAAATCACAAAAACTGGACACAGATTTTGTTCATCGTCCTGGACATGAACCAGACTTTTTTGTTGGCAGCGATTCAGGCCCACCAAAACTGCCAGCAGAGCGATGGAGCCAGGTTAACTCCAGGTAGCAATTCTAACAATTACTACACACAATATGTGAGTTAGTTGTAAACTGTTGGTGGATGTAAATTGTAGTAGCCCAGCCGCTTAGCTTATATCCCCTTCTTTCTCTCTCGGCGGTATAGCGGTGATGTCAGGGACTCAGCAGTTGCTAGCTGCTCCAGGGTAGAGCCAGACCTAGTGCCTGACCAGCAGCCCCCCTCCTCACCCGCGCTGGATACTGGAAATGAAAGCAGCAGCAGGTCTTCTCTCGCTACAGGTGACACATACACCACGGATTATGAAAACCCTCCTCTGGAATGTTTTCCGACTGATCAGGCCAATTTTGCTGAAAACATCCATGACGCCAACATTAAACGATATATCCTTAAGATGGGCCCATGCAGACCCAAAGGTCCATTTCCTACTGATAATGACAATTGGTGGTTTTCTGAAAGTTATTACACCTCTACCACTAAAGTTGGGATGAAGCTTCCCTGCAGCTAGATGTGCTTTTCCCCCAAATTAGACTGCTGTTACTGTGAGCCTTGCTGGCTTTTTGGCAACCGAAATGCCCCATATTACAACAATGCATGGGTCAACGGAATAAGAGACTGGAAACATCTTTCTGCCAAAATTGAGAAGCATGAATCCACACAAATACATCTTGGTGCATGCATAGTCTACGAGCAGTGGAAACTCAACAGCACAATAGACGCTGAAATGGAGAGGAATGTGCATAATGCAACCTTGTTTTGGAGACAGGTCCTGGAGCACAGTGTAAATGTCACTCTTACTCTGGCTTCATGCAACCTGACTTTCAGGGGGCACGGGGAAGTTCTTGGTCAGGGAAATGCTGGCAACTTTTTGTCAATTATCAAGTTATTAGCTCGCTACGACCCTGTTTTGAAAGAGCTAATCAACCGACCAGAAGGCTCCATGAAATACTTAAGTCACCAGATTCAAGATGAGATTATTGACATCCTGTCTCAACGTGTGAAAGCTGACATAATTAGTGAAATAAACGAAGCCTCGTTTTATTCCATTTTCATAGACATAACGCAAGATGTGTCAAAGATAGACCAGCTGAGCCAGGTGTACCGTTATGCAACTGTTATTAAGAATGACATGGATATTGCAACAGATATACAGATCAATGAAGTGTTTTGGGGTTTTTAAGCAACTGTCATGAACTCACTAGCAGAATAGGTGGACACAAATGCTTGACTCAGTAGGTTCAGGCAAAAGATAGGTTTAATGGCAGTCAGCGTTCGGTACACAGAAAATCAGTCCAACAGGCAGAAGTATCCAAGAATCGGCGGGCAGAGACAAGGTCAAAAAGCAGAAACAAGGTCGAGATCAAACAGACTGTGACTTAACTTGAATAACGCTGGTACGAGGACTGTGAAGTGCAACAAACTGGCAACGAGACAGTGAGACACACAGGGTAAAATACACAAGGTAATGAGGGTAGATGGGAAACAGGTGCGGGGAGGTAATCAGGGAGCAGGTGAGACAAGACAGGTGCAGGAAGTAAAACTAGAACAGAACACCCAGTGAAGCGATTTCAAAATAAAACAGGAAAGACGAGACATAATGTGCAGACATGAACAGAAACTTGACAGACATAACAGCAACTGTGGACTCATCAGCGTCAGAGCTTGAAAACCAAATCCTGGGCTCCATAGAGAAAAACGGAACTGATCTGTCAAAATGCCGCGGACAGGGCTATGATGGGGCCACAAATATGAGTGGTGCGTATTCAGGCGTTCAGGCAAGAATAGCAGAGAGGGAGCCCCTTGCCCGTTATGTTGATTGCGCTGCTCATAACCTCAACCTTGCTCTCAACGACACTGTTAAAAGTGTTCCTGGAGTGAAGCAGTTCTATGACCCTTTCAGTTCTATGTACAACTTTTTTGGTCACAGTGTCAAACGATGGGCGCTCCTCGGTGGGTTAATGACGCCAGAGAGCAGAAGGGTCACATTAAAACGCCTCTGTCCCACTCGCTGGTCATCTCGACATGATGCGCTTTTTGCGTTAAGGCACAGATATGGAGACATTGTAAAAGCCCTCATCAAAATATCACTGACCAGCGACAAAAAAGAGTGAAGCAAGTGCGCTCAAGAATGCCATAAGCAAATTTTCTTTTATATTTTTGGTCAACATCCAAACCAAGATTCTTGAGGGTATAAACGCTGCCTCACAGTTACTGCAAGCTAAGGATGCAGATATTCTGAAAGCATCTACTCTTCTGCAAAATGCCGTCAGTGTTTTGATGGAGTTTAGGGAGCAATTTGATGAGGCTAAGTCTGCCGCTCTTGCTCTAGCTACAAAATCGGGAAGTCAAACGCAGTTTAACGCAACTAGGGCCAGAAAAGTTAAGCGTCACGTTGATGAACTTTCTCAAGACAGCCGCCTCACTGACGCAGAGAGCAACTTTCGGGTGAACGTTTTCAATGCCTGTCTTGATATTGTCCATCCATCCATCCATTTTCTATACACCGTTTAATCCTCACTAGGGTCATGGGGGGCTGGAGTCTATCCCAGCCGACTTAGGGCGAAGGCAGGGGACACCCTGGACAGGTCACCAGTCTATCACAGGGCTACACTTAGAGACAGACAACCAAGCACACTCANTGGCAGTTAGCCTGGGAGGTAGCTTGAAAGTTAGCTGGAAAGTAGGCCCTAAAATTAGCCTGGCAGTTAGCCTAGTAGTTAGCTTGACAGTTAGCCTGAGAGTAAGCCTTACATTTATCCTTACAGTTAGCCAGTTAGCCTGACGGTGAGTCTGAGAGTTAGCCTGCTCTACCTCCTATGAGCTCAGAGAACTGCAGTTATGTCGCTAACACTTGTTTGTTGTTTTTATGCACTTAAAGCTGCTGCAGTAGAAACAGAAATGCTGATGATGGGACCCTTCCTGTAAATGTTTAAGCTCCTCCAGTAGAGGACGAGGGTCGAGGTGCAAAGGTTTCCTGTCTCTACCCTGCAGAGGAGGCGAGGCAGCTCTTGGGACTTCTGCCGCCGGTGTTTGTGGTTGTTGTCCAGGAGTCTGGTGCTGCTGACGCTCCACAGAGGTGCGTCCATAGTCTGCAGGAGATGCTGCTGTTTGTCTGTTTGAAGTCGATAAACACCTCACCGGTCCTGCAGACGAGTGACTGAGAGGTCGAGGCCTCGGCTCCTCGTTGTAAGTGTCTCTGCGTGACGTCTCGTCTGTTACCACAGCAGACGCATCGACGGGAAACTCGATCATCATGTTGGAGGCAGTAAAAGCGTACGGTGATCTCAGCTGCTGCTCCAGATGCTGTGGTCTGACGGCGTTAAACGCACAACAGAATCCTTGTCTTTCTTAATAATTCACTCAGACAGACACACGTCCTGCAACATGAAAACTAATCTTTTACACGGACAATTGTTTGGTCTCCTTTCATTTTTTCAATAAACCATCTACAAATGTGATTCTTTAAACTGAAAATAGGTGAAATTTATGTTTCCCAGCAGCTCCATTCAGACATTTTTTCCTTTATTTCGTTTGTTTACTGATCCTGTTATTGGTCATCTGCACTCTATGCAGATTTCCATCCATCCATCCATTATCTATACACCACTTGATCCTCACTAGGGTCGTGGGGGGCTGGAGTCTATCCCAGCTGACTCAGGGTGAAGGCAGGGGACACCCTGGACAGGTCACCAGTCTTTTGGACTGTGTGGGAGGAAGCCGGAGAACCCACGCTGCACGGGGAGAACATGCAAACTCCACGCAGAAAGATTCCGGTGCCCCCACCGGGACGCGAACCTTCTTGCTGCGAGGCAACAGTGCTACCAACTGCACCACCTTGCAGCCCGTCTTGATATTGTCAGCCAGCAAATGTCACAAAGATCCACCAGCTTAAATGGAACTGTGAACCCCAACACACTGCTGCACGCAGGAGATGAAGAGTTACACCAAGCTGCCCGGCGGCTTAGTGAGCACTACAGTCAGGACATCGCCCCCAGTTTTCCTGGCCAGCTGCTTTGCTTGAGAACCTCTTTCAGGGACCAGATAACAGAGCAAAAGTCTGTTGCGGATCTGGCAAAAATGCTCCTTGTCGACCACCCAGCAGTAACTTCTACATTCAGTGAAGTTTGCACCACCCTCCTTTTATTCTTCTCACCATTGCAACCTCTGAGCGCTCATTCTCCAAGAAAAAACTAATGAACAACCACTTGAGGAGCACAGTGGGACAGGAGAGACTGAGTGGACTTGCCATGTTGTCCATTGCGCATGAGAGAGCTAAGAAAATGGACATACAGAGCATTGTGGATGAGTTCGTGGAGCGCAAGGCTCGTCGTATGCCCTTCAAATAGTGGTGAGTAGGCCAATAGTTCTTCATATTGAAATTGTATTTGTGAACATGTGGGCCGCTGTGTCAGTTTTACTAAACTTTTTAGCTCCTGATACAGGCTCTGAGTTGAAATAGTTAAAGTGGGTGTCAGAATGATGCGGTTGCTATCCGTGGTGCTGAACTGCTTTGAATTTGTGTTGTTTTATTATCAGTGACCATGTAGCCTCATGTTTTTGTTGTTCTCTTGGTTATACTTCATGTCCGTTTGATGGACTTCATAGCCGCTCTCCGTGGTGCTGAAGCTTGTAAGCTCCGCTGTTGTGGGCATGTGTATGTTGTAAAATGATGTCATCATGAGCTTTATTATTTGGGTTTAAAGGGCCCGGTCTTTTGCCCTGCCCCCGGCCCGGCTCTGATTTGTTCCACTAGTGCCTGGAAGTTAGCTTGACAGTTAGTCTGACAGGTAACTTGACAGTTAGCCTAAGAGTTTACTTGACAGTAGCCGTGTCTCAATACTCAAGTACACAAGTCTGTACTTGCATTCTCGCTAGACCGTACTCGCGAGTACGGTCTAGCGAGCACACTGCACGGGGAGAACATGCAAACTCCACACAGGAAGATCCCGGTGTTCCCACTGGGACGCGAACCAGCGACCTTGCTACGAGGCAACAGTGCTACCAACTACGCCACCTTGCAGCCGTCTATGCAAATTTGAGACGGCAAATATTTCAGTGCATGAATTGTCCCAAGATGTCTTTTTGACAATGTCTCTGTTGTTCAAATGCAAATCTTTTTAGAAGCTAACTGCAAATTTTTAGCATCAGTAACGTGGATTTTCTGAGATAAAAGATGCCAACATAGTTTGCAGAAATGTCCAATAAATGAGATTTGTGATGCATTATTGACAAAACATCACAACATTTACAGTTAAAAATGTGCACGGTGCTAAAACCTTCTATTTGCAGGGACCTGTGGAGTGTTTCCACACGTTAGGGGGAATAATGTCATGAAAAATAGAAAGCGCGGCAGGTAAACCTGCTGAGCCGCAGCTGCCGACACTGCTCAGATAGAATTGTTGAAAAGGTTAGAGGGTTGTTTATCGCACACCCACCGCGACTAAAAAAAGAACCCACAAGCTTTTACTGCAAAAAAAACCCCCAAAACACTGTGTGGTAAAATAAATGCACACAACGCACCACATAACTCAACTTTTCAATTTATCAATCAAGGCTGCAGTTCGGTGAGTTCATGTGATTCATTTAAAAGGAGAAATCTGAACTTTCACTTGAACTTGCTGCTGTTTTGCCTCCAAATATGAACAACAAAAAAAAAACACCTCAGAGTTTATGCAGTAATTAAGCTGTTTGTTGTGTTTATGGGAGAACGATGCAATTTGTGCAGCATAATTTTTTATCAGGAGCGTGGCGTTGTGCATTTTTAATGGTAATGTGACTCCAGCAGCAGGTTAATGTGTGTGTGTTTTATTGATGAGTAAACAAGTGACGGCTTTACTTATTAATCACTTTGCAGATTTTACAAAACACATGATGACACACGAGTTGTTAGATGTGAAGGTAACGATCAGCCGCAGCAGCGTAGAGAACATCTACCACATAGAAACAGCAGCTGTAGTCAATAATAGTTTATAATGCTTAGTTTATAACAAACATATTATTCAGTACAATTCTATTAAATCCAGATCTTTTACATGGTTCATAAAGGGTCCTCAAACTTCCTTACATTTATTTTTGTATTATTTTCAAGTAAATGAAAACGATTCTTCCTAGTGCAAGGGTCCACAACCTTTGCCTGATCTATTTTTTTTTTTCTAGAACAAAACTATCACCTTCTTGCCATTTAGAAAACCAAGGTTCATTTTTAATATGATTATGGATTTTTTTGGTTATAAATAAAGTTAAAAAAACAACTTTTTTGAACAGTTTTCTGCTCATGTAACTCTGACCTCTGACCCACAAACGCTTTAATCTTTCTGTGCTGCCAGATATGGTGTAAAAATGTTGATTTAATCTTTTGTTTTAATGCATAAATCTGCTTTATCTTTATTGCACTGATTTAACTTTGCAGCCCGTACATGTGCTCACATGAACAAGTCAGTCTGAGGTTTGCAAGCAGGATTCATACGTTTAGTTTATACGTTTGCAAAAATCTAATATAGCAATAAAACGACACGGTGGTCGAGCCTGGATGGTGGAGATTATTATTTTTTTAAACAAAAGTTTTATTTCAATTTTTAAGTCAGTATCTGGTGGATGAAGTGCGAAATAAAAAGCAGTCAGAGTGCTGTGAAGTCCAAAACCTTCTCAGGTAAAGATGGTTCAGTGAATGCATCACCTGGAAACTCCTGCACCTGTAAGGACACAGAGGGCACAACAAGTGACACAGGAAGCTTTTATGACAATACCAATTCAGATGATGTAACTTTTAAAAGTAGTATTGTTCCATTGTGGTAGAATAGAATAGAATAGAATAGAATATCCTTTATTAGTTCCATAAGGGGAAATTTGCAACGTCACAGCTGCAAAGTGACAGTAAGAAAAGCAAGAAAACACAAATAGAAATGAAAGAGGTGAGCTTTATATACAATATAAATAAGAAAAACAAGGATACTAAGAACACAAAATGAAAAACGTTTGTATGAATGAAGGGCTGCAAGGTGGCTCAGTGGTTAGCATCATTGCCTCGCAGCAAGAAGGTCCCGGTGAGGACACCCGGGATCTTTCTGCGTGGAGTCTCCATGTTCTCCCCGTGCAGCGTGGGTTCTCTCCGGGTTCTCCAGCTTCCTCCCACACAGTCCAAAAACATGTTGAGGTTAATTGGTGATTCTAAATTGTCTGTAGGTGTGAATGTGAGTGTGCTTGGTTGTCTGTCTCTAAGTGTAGCCCTGTGATAGACTGGTGACCTGTCCAGGGTGTCCCCTGCCTTCACCCTGAGTCACCTGGAATAGACTCCAGCCCCCCATGACCCTAGTGAGGATTAAGCGATGTATAGATAATGGATGGATGGATGGATGATTTGCAAAACTATGAACACAAAGACTAATCTCCCACAGTCATCCATGCAAATTCATGGAATCACACCTTTTAGAATACGGTCTCTGTATTAACACAAGAATAAAATTAAACAGTGGTGCTTAATTCTTAGGAAATATGAATCAACATTTAAACAAGGGTTGTCCATCCATCCATCCATCTTCTCCCGCTTATCCGGAGTCGGGTCGCGGAGGCAGCAGCCTTAGCAAAGCCACCCAGACTTCCCGATCCACACACACCTCCCCCAGCTCTTCCGGGGGGACCCCTAGGCATTCCCAGGCCAGCTGGAAGACATAGTCCCTCCAGCGTGTCCTGGGTCTTCCCCGCGCCCGGAACACCTCCCCAGGGAGGCGTCCAGGAGGCATCCGGAAAAGATGCCCGAACCACCTCAACTGGCTCCTTTCGATGTGGAGGAGCAGCGGCTCTACTCCGAGCTCCTCCCGCATGACTGAGCTCCTCACCCTATCTCTAAGGGAGCACCCAGCCACCCTGCGGAGGAAACTCATTTCGGCCGCTTGTATCCACAATCTCGTTCTTTCGGTCATTACCCAGATCTCATGACCATAGGTGAGAGTAGGAACGTAGATTGACCGGTAAATCGAGAGCTTTGCTCCCTTGCTCAGCTCTCTCTTCACCACGATGGTCCGGTACAGCGACCACAACACTGCAGACCCTGCACCAATCCGTCTGTCAATCTCACGCTCCATCCGCCCCTCACTCGTGAACAAGACCCCGAGATACTTGAACTCCTCCACTTGAGGCAAGGAGTCTCCACCAACCCGGAGAGGACAAGCCACCTTTTTACGGTCGAGAACCATGGCCTCGGATTTGGAGGTGCTGATCCTCATCCCGCTCGCCCCACACTCGGCTCCAAACCGCCCCAGTGCACGCTGAAGGTTCTGGCAGAAGGGTTGGTTTGGTGTAAATTATTCTCACTGGTCAGGTGTTGATTTGTTTATTTTCCAGTGAAGGGAAATGCTGTTACTGCCGTGAACGAGGTGTGGTTATGTGCAGGTAGCAAAAAGGTCCGGTTAATCAGTAGAACAGAATCAAATAGAAATGCTTTTATTGATCCCCAGGAAGAAATTCTGCAAGCAGAAAGAGTAAAGTGACGACAAATAGTAATAAATAAGAAATAAGACAAATGTTCTAAAGCAGAAAGTGTAAAATATACACTGATTAAAAATAAAAATGCACCGTAACCGTGTCAATAATTGCATTTTCAATATAAAAACTTACAGTTGAATGAGGAAATAAAAGTCATCCTTGTTCTTATCGCTGTTTTAGACTTTTCCAGAGTAAACCCAGGACCTTCACCACGCTGTAGGAGCCGAAACACAGCTCGTGTTAATGATGCTTACCGTACTTTAAGAGACAATACGTCTTTGTGTACGAACCAAATTGCAAAGCCGTCTTCAATTAGTCACGTGCATGGTTCAGTTCCGAGTGCACGTTCCCGACAACAACCTCCGGACCGAACTGAGCCGACGTTTATGTTCATTTCACATGAAAACAAAGCAGTCAGTGTTTACAGCTTTCAAACTTCCTGATCACTTTTCACATGCAAACACCAAAAACCAACAAGACCGCTGCTGTTTGCTGATGTGTTGGGCTTCTGTTCGGAGCTCGCAGGGTTTCACGTGGACGGAAAACAGCCGAATCGTGACAATAAAGTCAACCAAAGTGCACATCAATAAAAGAAAGGAGCTTAGTTTTAATGCAAATCTTGTTGCTATGAAGTAAAATCTGTGACCTGCGCTTTGAAATGGAGCCAGATGAGAAAAAATGTGGTTTTTGGTTTGATATTGAAGAGAAGCGTTGGCCAGATGTGATGGAGTGAGCTGTGTTTTCTGTTTGACATCAATACTTTCATTCACTTTAATGAATTTAATAAAGTATTATATTTTACATGTGCTTTCAAGAAAAATTTTTCTACAATTCTCTACAGAGATTTACAATTGTCACTGCACTT